AAGATGGGAGGAACACACAGAGTCAGTACATCAAAAAGAAATGGACGTTGTTCAACCACCTCAAGAGATAGTATATGATCAAGAACCAATAGTACTGAAGGAAAAAGTTCAAAGTGCAATGAGGGCACTGACAAAGAACAACACTTGGTGAACTGATGGAATACAAATTGAAATCTTTCAACAAACTAATGCAGCATTGGACGCACTCACTCATCTATTCCAAGAAATTTGGAAGACAGCTACCTGGCCAAATGAATGGAAGAAATTGATGTTTGTGTCCATTCCAAAGAGTGATGACCCAACAGTATACAGAAATCACTGGAAAGTATAATTAATATCACATGCAAGTAAAATTTAGCTAAAGACAACTCAAAAACAGCTGCAACAGTATATTGACAGAGCACTGCCAGATGTTCAAGTCAGTTTTGGATGAGGAGGTGGAACTAAGGATATCACTGCTGACATTAGATGGATCTTGGCTTAAAGCAGAAAATAACAGAAAGATGTTTACCTGTGCTTTACTGACTATATGGATCATGAAAAGCTATGGACAACATTGTGGAGAACAAGAATTCCAGAACACTTAATTGTGTTCATGAAGAACCTGTACATAGACCAAGAGGCAGGTGTTCAAACAACAAGGGAACACTTGAATGACAATATCATGAAAGGTGTGTGCCATGGTTATATTCTTTCACCATACTTAATTTGTATGCTGAGCACATAATTTGAGAAGCTGGATTATATGAAGAAGAATGTGGCATCAGAATTGGAGGAAGAATCATTAATAACTAGTGATATGCAGAAGATAAAACTTTGCTTGCTGAAAACGAAAAGGACTTAAAATACTACTGAAGATCAAAGACCACAGACTTCAGTATGGGTTGCACCTCAACGTAAAGAAAACAAAAGTTTCCACTACTGGACCAATAAATAACATCCATGATAAATGGAAACAAAGATTGAAGATGTCAAAGACTTCGTTTTTCTTGGTTCCACTATCAGCACTCATGGAACAGCAGTCAGGAAATCAAATAACATACTGCATTAGAAAAATCTGCTGCACAAGACCTCTTTTAAAGTGTTCAAGAACACAGATGTCAGTTTGAGGACTAAGGTACTTCTAACCCAAGCCATGGTATTTTCATATGCATATAAAAGATGGACAGTGAATAAGGAAAACTGTAGAAGAATTGATACATCTGAGTTATATAGTGCTGAAGAAGACTATTAAAAGTAGCAAGCAAATCTGTATTGAAAGAAGTAGAAGCCAGGATGGGGAGAACTTGTCTCTCACACTTCAGTCATATTATAGGGAGGGATCAGTCCCTGGTGAAGGACGTCATGCTAAGTAAAGTGAAGGGTCAGTGTAAAAGAGGAAGACTTCCCCAAGAAGACTGATTGGCACAGTAGTAGCCTCAATGGGCTCAAGCTTTAAGACTGTGAGGATGGTGCAGGACCAGGCAATGTTTCCTTCTGTTGTGCACAGGGTTGCTATGATTTGGATCTGACTCTATGGCACCTAACAACAACAGAAAGGTAGCAAAATTCTTCTGATTGAACTTGGCTGAATACCAAAAGTTCATTGGTTCGAACCAGCAGCCTCTTCTCCAGAGAAAGCTGTGGTAGTTTGCGTCCAAACGATTAGTCTTGGAAACCTCATGTGGCAGTTCTACTTTGTACTATTAGATTGCTATGAATCAGAATCCACTCATTGGCAAGGGATTTTAGTTTAAGAAATAAATAGTATATCTTTAATCTCTCAATTCACATTGCCCTAACAATTGACCCTGGCATACACTCATTTTTAAGTACCACTGAGTCAGTTCTGACTCACAGTGACCCATATAGGATTTCCCAGGAGCTGCTGACCTTGTGGTTTGCAACCCAGTACTGATCCTACAGTGCCACACCAGGAGTCATATACTATGCATATGTTAGGGAATAAAAGAAAGAAATCAATAAATATGTTGCTCATTTGCAACAATTTTGGTGAATTTGCAGTATCTCTACAAGCAATTTACTATTTGGGTCAAGAGGTTTAGTGATAACCTTACCTTGCTAATAGTTTTTTTGAAATATTAAGCTAGTTTTCAAGAAAAACAAATACTGTCTAAATACTTTTAAAGACCTTTTAATAACATAATTTAATTAAGTACCTCTGCCTATCAGCCCATGGTCCATAATTGAAATCTGTTCCTTTTCCACAAACTATATCCAATCCCCAACATGGAGGCAAGTCTTGTAATTTACAATCTTCACTGCTCGTATCTTCTTCGATATTTTCTTCTGTTTCTTCTGGAACAAGTCCTATATAGCAGAGGATATCATATAAAGCCATGTACTTAAAACTACTATTATAAAATTTTCTTATATCAATGGTTCTCAGACTTTTTATTTCACTCTTAAAAGTTACTGTGGATGCCAAAGAGTTTTTGTTTATGTGTATATCAATTTTTTTAAATTCAAAATTAAAGTCAAGAATGTAAAGATATATATTACTTTTAAAATATAATAATAAAACCATTGCATGTTAATATAACATACTTCTAATGAAATTTTTTTTTCATTTTCTAAAATGAAAACTTTAAAAACTTAATGAAAGATTCACATTGTTTTATATTTTGCCCAATCTATTTAGTATCAAGCTTAATAGAAAATGGGTAGATACTAATATCTGCTTCTTGCATTCAATCTAGTGTTGAAGTGTTTTGAAGACAATCTGGCCTCATACAAATTAGGAGTGGTGGTCAAAGTGGTTGGCTGCTCACTGAAAGGCTAACACACTGAATCCACCAGCCACCCTGCAAGAGAAAGATGTGACAGTCTTCTTCCATAAAGATTTACAACCTCAGAAACCCTATGGGGTGGTTTTACTCTGACCAATAGGGTCACTAAGAGTCAGAATTGACTCCATGGCAATGGTTTTACTCTGGGGGTTTATTTGAAAGGCTTTTAAAAATTATTTTGAATGCTCTTCTTTGAAGCTCCATCATAATTCAACAAGTGGTATTTATTTCCTTTAAAAGTTAGTTGCAGTAGTTGTTGTTGTTATGTGCCATGGAAGCAGTTCCGACTCATAGCGACCCTGCACAGGGTTTCCGAGGCTGTAAATCTTTACAGGAACAGAAAACCTCATCTTTCTCCCGCGGAACAGCTGGTAGTTTCAAACTGCTGACCATGAGATTAGCAGCCCGATTTGTAACCACTGGGGAGCCTGAAAACACATTACTAAACTTTCATACGCTATTAAACTCTGTTGGTCTGTCTTTCACTTTTATATCAACATCCACTGGCCATTTAGAAAACATTGGTTCAGAGTAATGCAAATTTTTAACACACAATGACAAAGGATAAAATATTCTAAATATCACATTCGTTAACATTACCACTGATCTCGGTTGTTGTTGTTAATGATCTCATTAGAAGGCTGTTAATTATTGGAAAGCTGTTAAGCTCAAAGTGCGAGATACATGTTTTCCAAAATTCTAAGGTCCACTTAAAAGTTCAAAAACGTAGTTTGTAGCTGTTGTGGTGTGGTGCATGATCTAATGTTTCTTCTAGTCACAGCCTGCAACTCCCACCAAACAATGTTTCTGTCCTGCTGGGTCTAGGTAAAAGAAGGTGGCAGAAGATACTGATAGTATGACATGATTTAGGCTGTGGAGGTTGGCAGAGTTTACTATAATTGTAAAAGCTTGAAACTCTAGCATGTGTATAAAATGAGTCATCTCACAAGCAAGAAGAGGATCTCACTACCAGCAAGGAAGAAGAGCCAGGAGGGATCCTGAGATCCCTGAACATTAAACCTCTTAGACCCAGGTACAGAAAGTTCTGACACCGGAGAAGTAGCAGATGAGCAGCAGCAGTAAAACCAAGAACCAGAGCACAAGACAGAGCAGTGGACTTCCCAGGCTACAGGGCAAGTAACATCAGACAGAAGACTTCCAGGTAGAGTGGAATGCATACGAATCGGGCTGCAAACCGCAAGGTCAGCAGTTTGAAACTACCAGCTGCTCTGTGGGAGAAAGATGAGGCATTCTGCTCCCATAAAGATTAACAGCCTCAGAAATCCTGTTCAGGGTCGTTATGGGTCGGAACCGACTCGACAGCACTTAACAACAACAACAAAGTGCTATCAAGTGAAGTTGTTTTTGTTGTTGTTAAGTGCCGTGGAGTCAGTTCCAACTCAAAGCAACCCTGCACAGGGTTTCCGAGGCTGTTGATCTTTATGGCAGCAGAACGCCTCATCTTTCTCCCGCAGAACAGCTGGTAGTTTCGAACTGCTGACTTGCGGTTCACAGCTCGATTCATAACCACTGCGCTACCAGAGTTCAAGTCAGGTGGGGGGGTGCTAAAGCCAAATACCCTCAGGCTGAGGCTTATGGTGGACTGCTATTGTCCTATAAGCATTCATCAGCAACTGACTGGAATAACTGTATTCTTGAGCATTTTCTGATCCTGTACTGTAAAATCGATTAACTTTCCTAGTAAATCCCATAACTGTTAGTATGGTATCTGAGTTGTGTGTGGTCACTGAAACAAATTATCAAACACAACTGAGAAGTAAGGAGGGTTATGGAACTACGGAAGGAATGACTGGTGCCGCCCACTGTTAAAGTTTGGTGTGAGAAGGTTCCTTGAAATGGCTCCAGACTCATGAAAGCATGGGGGTTTTTAAGAGAGAAAAAAAGAAAAAGGAACCTGGATAGTAAAGCTTTTGATTCTTAAATCATTACTTTGGATTTTAACTATAATGGATGATAGAATATAAGATGTTCTGTTGAACCTGAGTGGAGAAAAGCTGCTACTGGATTCACCTGGGGCAAAATGTCAGGCCAGATAAATAAGATAGCTGGTAAGGGACCCAGGACCTAGAAGAAATACCCTGCTAGAGGCCCAAAGTCATATACATATAAATGGAGACACCATTCAAGGGTAGAAAAATGATTTAAACGTTTTTTAAAAAAGAGTGTTTTTTAAAAAGGTTAAGGGTTGTGTGCTTATCTGACTGCACTAAGGATATTCAGTATTTCTCATGCCTATTGGTGGTGGTGTTAAGTGATGTTGTTAAGAGTAGGTTCTGACCCATAGCAACCCTGTATAGGGTTTTCAAGGAGTGGCTCCTGAGCTTGATCCACAGAACTTGCACTTCAAACCGACTTTTTACACCAGTGCATTAGCCCACAGTGCCACACCAGGACTCCTACCTACTACTATAAAATAGACCTTCTGGTGTGATGGAAATTGATATGATTATCTTGATTACAGAGACCCATAAGCAACCTTCAGCTTATACTTGATTGGGTATGCTAAAAGGGGAGCTAGGAATAGCTCAGAAGGAGCAGGTTTTATTTTAAGTCAGAAGCCTGTGTATGGAGTGCTGGTGTGGTTGAGTAGGTTAAGCACAGGGCTACTCATCAAAAGGTCGGTGATTCAAACCAACCAGTCACTCCTAGGGAATCCTATACAGGGTTGCTGTTAACTTCCTCGATAAATTCCTTAAGATCTGTGTAGCCATTGCACGGATTATCAAATACAACCAAGGAGTAGAGATGGTTGTGGGAGGAATAATTGGTGTCACACTGTTGCAGCTGCTCTTTCGAATAAAAATGGTATCACAAGAATAAAACAATGGGCTATGGCTACTTTGTGAGTATGTGACAGTGAAAAAATACAACTACTGCTATAGTTTAAGGAGCTCTGGTACCATAGTGGTTATGAATCAGGCTGCTAACCTCAGGGTCAGTAGTTCGAAACTACCAGCTGTTTCATGGGAGAAAGATGAGGCTTTCTGCACGCATAAAAATTTACAGCCTCAGAAACCCTGTACAGGGTCGCTATGAGTTGGAACCGACTCCACAGCACATAACCATCATCACTGTAGTTTAGAGCTACTGTGTTGATTCATGTTAAAACACCAACAGTTCTATCTACCATTATTTTTACAACATCAATGCAAATATCAACATGATGGAAAAGGTAAATAACACCTAGGTTTTATAATGAAATAGTTTTGACCTCACAAACACTTAAGAGGTCACAGCAACCCAAAAAAAACTCACAGTCTGCTTTTGGGAAAATTGAAAAAATGTATAATCAAATAGCTATTTGTTATAATTAGTATATAAGCATGTAACTTGAGGTTTGTTTTTGCTTTATTTTTTTCCTAGGCACAGAATAAAAAATTTAGAAGCACAAAAAGTGGACTACAGTTCTGGTTTTGGGGACAACAGAGACAGCCAGATAGGAAAGGCTCCATGGGGGAGGGACTGAAAACCCAAAGAAGCTGCGTTCACAGAACAACACCAGAGCTCTGGATCTAGCATAAGGTTCAGGGTGTCAGTTTCCCACATGCACAAGTGGAAAAATCATGATATAAAGGAAAACACCGTGAGTTAAGAATCCCTCGCTTGAGAGACAGGACTCCCTCTGGGGAAACCCAGCCTGGGTGGAGTTCACAGCGTGGGGCTACAGACAGACCTGCACAGGGAACCTGCACTAAAAGTGCTAACAGCAAGGAGGTGCGGGGGATTCTACACATTTTTTTCCTCCACTTCCCTGTCACACCTTCTTTGCCCAGCATGGACGCCTTCAGGCGGGTGGTTGAGCAACCACCCAAAAAAGCTCCAGCATTGAGACCACAGTTTTCGCATGGCACAAAGAGAAAGAGCTTGGTGGCTGCTTATGATGTCAGCCTTGGGGTCGCAGCCCTAAAATTAACTTGTGCAGGACCCTTTATTCTGGACTATCTAGCAAGAAAAAAGCAGGCCTGACAGGCCAGACAGAAAAAAATATGAACATCTGTAAAACCCCAACATAAAAAGATGCAACTATCTTGAGAATTACGCTGTACAAACACAGATACCTAACTGACGTGCAGAGACAAAAATAGTAGACAATCTTTCTCCCATTAACTTCTCAATATCTATCTGTGCACCTCTACAGTGGTGACTAGAGGAAGGGCCTGAGCAAGTGGACACCACCACCCACTGCCAGAGGCTTCTATGGTGCACACACATTGCCTGGGCAGTAAGGCAACTGGACAGTTAGTCACAGTTTAATTTTTGTTTCAAAATGGTGGTTTTTATCTCTGCTTTTATATTGCTTCTGTTTTTGGTCGTTTTGATCACACATTTTTACTGGAGGTGGGAGCTTTTTCTCCCTACGTTACCCAAGAAGACACAGCAATAGTGGCCATATAGCCAAGCTACAAGCATACCCCATAATATTACACCATTGAGCCAAGAGCCAATCTGTTAGCATACTCATTACGAATCAGGCTGCGAACCACAAGGTCAGCAGTTCGA